GTATTGTAACTCTACAAGAAACCTGGCTTCATGACTTATATGATGGCAATATAGTATCTTTAAATGATTTTAATGTATTCCGACAAGACCGTGTTTGTTCCAAGAAAAAATACGGCGGAGGAGTAGCTACATTTATTCACTCAAAATGGTCTATTTCTAACAATGTTTGTTTCAAATTCTCGAATGACTACATTGATTGCATCACTGTCAGGTGTCGCCCGAGACAATTGTCAAAATACAAATTCATTTATATTTCTAATGTTTATGTCTCTCCTGGCTGTACCATATCGGATTTATCTATGTTCGCAGATGAATTCACCGCTTTTGCTGCAGCTTGTTTCGAGAACTCTTTATCAATAGTGACTGGCGATTTTAACTCTTGTGATCACTCCTTCCTTATATCACTTGGCCATGACAATATTGTTAACTTTGCTACCCGTCTCGAAAAAACACTAGATCTAGTATTCATCAATGATGTTGGTATATATGAAGCTCGCAAACGTGCTCCTGTATTGAACTCTGACCACTGCATCATACGTGTACTGCCTAAAATATATTCCAAATCACACAAACGTGTCTTCTCTCACCTCTACAGTAAATTTCAACGGAGATGCTACTCACAAGATAATCTAAGCAAACTCAGATGCATGTTGATAGATACTAACTGGGACCTATTTACAGAACAAACATTAAATGACACAACCACAAACACCACAGATTATCTTAAATTCTGTTTCGAAATATGTTGTCCTAAAGAAACATTATTCACTCGTTTTGACCGTTTCTCTTCTCCATATCTCAAAAAGCTCCGTAGAGATAAAGAACTGTTGTTCAAAACAAATGATAAGTCAGGTGTAAAAAAGCTAAATCCTCTGATAAAACTCGAAATGCACAGACTAAATGTTTTATACAACCAAAGATTTTTGTCATGTAAAACCCCTTCTAGTTTATGGAAACTTTTTAAAGAAATAACTAGCGGTAAGCGGTGTAATTCTGTACAATCTCTTAATGTTAATAATCTTAATAAGTCTTTTATACGCTCCTCTGACGATATCCTTCCTAATGATACAAATCACATAGACAATAATTTTAGTGGTTTTAATACCCTTGATGTGCTTAAATGTCTCCGTTCTCTTAAGCCTTCCCAAAGCCTTGGTCCTGATGGCGTACCTGCCATTGTCCTCAGGAACTGTGCTGATATTTTGTGTTACCCTCTTACTAATATTTTTAATGCTTCCTTTTCCAGTAATGTTCTACCTTCTGCATGGAAAAACATTAAAATTGTCCCTTTACCAAAACAATCTTCTGGTACCGATAGTAAATTTAGGCCTATTGCAATTACTTCTCCTTTTTTAAAATTGATGGAAAAACTACTTTTACTTCGTCTTGAACCTTCATTGAAAGCTTTTAATGACCCTAAGCAATTTGCATATAAACATGGTAGAAGTACCTTGGATGCTGCGGTTGTCTTATATCATAATGTTGTTTCTTGTTTAGACAAAGGTGCCAAATATGTTCGTGGTGCTTTCCTAGACTACACATCTGCGTTTGACTCTGTACCTAGGGGCCTTTTATTAAATAAGCTCTCCTTGACGCACACAGCATCCTGGGCTAAGAGTTGGTTGCATTCTTATTTTTCTGATAGAATGCAGTATACTGCATATAATGGCAAATCTTCTTCTGCTTTGCTTACAAAAGCCGGTGTTCCTCAAGGTGCCGTCCTCTCTCCCTTTCTTTTTTCTTTCTTCTTACATGACCTGCCACATTTAAACGAAACCAATTTTGTCAAATATGCTGATGATCTGACTGTATCACTGCCTATCACTTCCGAGTCTGACTGCTCCAAACTTAATAGCTTTCTGTTGGACATCAGCATGTGGTCTAAGTCAAATGGTCTTATGTTAAATCCTTCCAAATGTCAGGCAGTTAACTTTACCTTCAACCATCGACGTGACATACATGAACTAGTTAGTTCCCATGATGCCTGTAGCATAGATGGTACAGAAATTGAAACCAAATCAAGCATTAAATACCTTGGATTAGTTCTTTCCTCGGACCTTTCATGGTCATCTCACATTTTATTGGTCTCTAAGAAAATGTTTCGTCTTACCTTCTACATTAAAAAGTTAAGACAACAAGGTATCAGCCAACCTTTAGTTCTGCGATTTTTAAACTCCTGTATTTTACCCATTTTACTTTATTGTTCTCCATTAATCTTCCCTGGGCTTCTTAAAAAAGACTATGCCGTATTACGAAGGGTATTAAATGCTGTGAGTAGGGCTTGTGGTTTGCCACTGCGTGATCTCGCCAATACCATAGTCGAGAGACACGTAAACTCCTGTAAAAATTGGGCAAAGGCCGTACTGTCAGACCCTCTGCACCCTCTTTATTCACAATTATCCCCTTGTATCTCATCAGGTAGAACGAGAAGTCAATATAAGAAATTATATGCTCGTACCACTAAGTACAAAAATTCTACAATACCGTACTTAGCCCGTATTTTATGTGATGAAGACACTGTTAGACGTGAAACATATAAGTTACTATGTAATTAGCATAGTGAATCGACCCTTTCATTGTTCATCTTTCTGTAATTCTATGGTGTCACCCTTTCTATCGTTTAATTATAACTTTGCTATTTTTATTTTAGTTGTTATTACTATTATTACTATAATTTTATATTTTTCTCCTTATCGCATACTGTAATTGCTACATAGCTCCTATAAAAACGTTTTGTTATCATTATTATGTATTAATTATTCCGTTTATCTATTTTTTTGTTTGTTGTTGTCGTTTTTGAGTAAATTAGATGCAATACTGTACTGAATGCTGAAAATTCCTTGCTGTATCATTAATACTGTTTTTGGAATAAAGCAAAAACAATTATTAATTATTATTATTATTACCGGTAGAAGCTGTGTACCGATTATAGAACTGCCTTCGGATGAGGATAAGAGGATCCTGCAAAAATCAAAAGTATACAACACGGTTATGAATGAAGCAAGTAGACAGTGTAGACCTCTGAGAAGATGAAGCGACCAACAGTACACTGTATGTTAGATTTTACCTGGAAGTTACATATATATTTCAACATTAATCGTTTTAAACAAAAGTCATGTGCAATGTCGCTAATTTTAACATCCAACAAAAAGGTGTACAGTCATATTGTTACAGATTCACAGAAGGCCTTTCATCAGCGAAAGCAAATCATCTCTAGTCGTACTGTCAGTGGTGGAGCATGAGAAAACTTTGACTTTCGGAGACGTATAGGACCACCTCTGGTAGTGTTGAGTGTAATGGAAATACCATCCTTCAACCATATAAGAAAATACACTGTATGAAACGCAACATGACTGCAGAAGAATTGGATTCTGTTGTCTACGTGGAACGACGGCACGTTGTTTAGGAACATGAATCTCCAAGTTTAAATGACCTTCCTCGATTTTGAGAAGACATTCGAGTCCATTCAACATGAGATCCTCCTCATCATACAAATCGAACTGACAGTGACAGTGTGCCAGTTTTATAGATCATGAAATTACTTCATAGGATGGAGTTCCAGATGTGAGTTAGTTATGTCCCCTCATCCTGGAGTATCGTTGACCGTGTGGTTTCGTAAGGGGATGTCCGATGGTTTCTTGCACTTTCCCTATCTGTTCACTCTTGGTCGCTCAGTGAGTCTCCGATATGGAGACATTAACCTTTTTTCCTCTGGAAGGGATGTAACAAGTGTATACTATTCGAGCATCCTGCAGACACATCTAAGTCCCTTGGAAGATTAGGAGGTCCTTATATACCCACATACTGCGAAATGCTTGAACTACGCATCAGAAAACTGCTCATGCTGACTTTCAGCTCCTTTAGCTGGTGCTTGTCCTACAAATAATCAGAGCATAACAGAAGCCCCTACCTAAATAGTAAGTTAAGTATAAAAGCAGACTATATGGCAGAGTTGTCGAGGGCAGATGCCATCCAAACCTCCATGCGTATACAGCTGGCTGCACTCACAACAAAGTCCTTCGTGTGAAAATTTGAGGAGTTAATGCTTTGCTATATCAAGGCCAACATATCATTGACAATTTCTCCCTTTAAGCAGACGCCAGCTTCTCATAAAAGACACAGATTGTGTGAAAAGATGATGCGTCTATCCACCCCTGACTATCTCTAGTTAAAGAGAGACCTGGTCACTCCTCACAATGTCCCAAGCATCAATGTACACGACGCAAAGTAATCATGCTGTCGGTTCATCAAAAGTTTTGTCGTGGCATTGCACAGAAGACGGCCAATCACGGAGGCCTAAACTAGGGGCTTGAAGCCGCCGAACACCTTGTTAGCAGCCGCCACTAGAGTACTACCAATGGTAAGCTTACAAATGACGCTGCAGTAATCTCACAGCAATATACAGGCCGCATCTAGGCATCTGTAAAACCCAGCCAGACTGTTATGTAATACCTGTATAATGTAACTTTATTAATGATTTTCTACTAGGCTGGAATTAACAATTTTCCAGTTGCTTCCATAGAGCCCTCAAAAAATTTCACCCTGTTTCAATTTATACCGATTTGTATGTTAAATTTTTTCTCCTTATCTGAATAAATACTGCTGTTTTCTTATTCTCGTTGACCTCATCAGGCCACCGACTGGAGGACGATTGCCACCACCGTAGTCTCAATACAAACCACAAATCACCCATTAAATTCAGCCATACTTACTGTGAACAAGAGGACCGATACAGCCCCAGAAAACAGGTGGTTGGGTGAAAGTACTGAACCCCAGTGATGACCAAAGAATATCTCCTCACTATTGAGGGGTGGAAGCAAATCAATAAGTCCGGATTTCGTTAGCTTGTGAGAATTATATGGGATACATCAGGTTGCCAAACAGAGGAAAATAGTGCAAGAAACTTAGCGCCTAGCTTAAGAGGTACTATAAAAGAATTCCCCTTCAAAACACAGACTTAAGACCACAATAAACTGTTAATTTTCAATGGTGTTATTGGTGACATTCAACAATGTTGGAAGTGACATATTGGCAATTTCAAGGCCGTGAGATCTCATTTGGTCACAATCTGAATCTGACGTTGCGGTATGTTTCTTATTTTTCGAGCTTTCTCCATTTTATCAATTACTTTACTGGAAACTGAGATTATTTAGTGTGAGAAAGTAAAATCATATTTTATTAATAAAGAAACAGCACAGTAGTCAATCCATAACAAATTATATTGTTACCGATGCAAATTATCAGAAAAACAACATATTTTCAGACTGTTCCCGTCCTTCATATCGTTTTTATTCACACATCAATTTCTTTGGGGGCTGAACTGCAAATATACACATGAAATTGATGGTTTTATATTTAATGAATTAGTATTTTGTTCAACCGAAGTTGCTTGCAGGAACCTAGCAACCCAGGTACCTCAGAGATGACCTAAACAACTATTAAAGCCTTATTTGCACATAATTTTCGAACTTTTTATAGCAAGTTTAACATTTTTGCTTGTTATATGCCAAAATTGAATCTTAAGCTAGAAATTTCTATTATCTGTCCCACGCTTATGCGACTAGTACTACTTATCCATAGAATCATATTACTTGCTTCTACACATTATGACAGTTTTGCTCTAGATTGTTGACCTATATACTTAAGTAGTGAAATCTTGCTCATATAGTTCTCACTGATTTTGATTTACTCTGTTTTTCTGTTGTTATCATTACTCGCCTTTTGCATCATATTGCTCTGTCATCTACATTTTCATTTCCTCAACTGTTCACATAACTCTGTAACTCATGAAATTTATGTGAGTCCGAAGGCACTAACAATGATCACAAATTCCTGAAAATAATCTGTATTTCACCATCTTTGGTACCTATCGAAGTTACTGAAGACAATTATTGGGATTTAATTCAGTGATATATCCTTAAGTTTGAGAATCATTCCGTAATTTCTAGAAGCAAGAGGTTTTAGGAAGCAACATGTGAAGTTAAATTATCTTCAGTCACCTTGCATTGTGTATTAACTGCAATTATAATTCATCTCATCCTATAAAAGTAAGTGATTTCCAAACAGTCAGTTTAAAGTGAACATAACAGTTAGGACGTGTTATGCACAAACTTTTGAACAAGGATATAATTCTCAGGGTTTTCTGTAGGCATAGTTCTTAATACCAAAGTGAATTTCTCCCGAAATACTGGAGAGCATTATTTTCACAGTTACGTTTTAAATGGTATCTCATAATTGTTGTCGAGCGTACGTTAGTCAAAGCTCGGCTCATTTGTCACTGATTTTTGCCCGGCTTCGTCATTCATTTATCTGTATTACTAAGGTGTTTCGTACTTAAACCGCGTCAAATTATTAAGACAAATTCGAAAATCACTATTCAGAGGAAGAGTTATGCGGTTAACAACCGGGGGATTTGTTTAATATGACCAAAATTTATCTGGTTTCATAGTGAATAAAATATTTTTTTGTTGATAAGCGGTGTAAATATTTCGCCTAAATTACTGCTCAACAATTTCCTGTTAGAGAATTAAGACTACTGGAACATTATGCGAAGTTATATATCTCACAAACAGTTGAATTATGTAGTGATAAGATAATACATTATTAGGTTTTTAGTCCTGTAGACAACTGAACCAAAACGCATAAAGTTACAACGAGTAAATAATAAATCATAGTCAGCATATGTAACAAACTTACGTATTTGTTAAGTATTTTTCATCTTTCTGTTTATGCGGCTGCACGATCTCATACATCGTCTTTTGTAAATGTGTCTGATATCTAAATCTCAGTGTTCTCTTAATGGAATGGGCGGCACAAAGTGAGAGGTAGTAATTACCTAACCAAGATAAATTATATAGACATTAACTAACTTGAAACAGCTCTAAAAGGGTCTTTAACTAGACAAATTTTGCAGGTACTATCAAGAATGGTGTACGATATTCTTAATTTGAATCTTACGTTCGAGTTCACCACGTCTTGAGTAACATCTCAAGTTTATTCAAAAAGGATAGAAGGCTATTTTAAAAACCTTAGGTAAATTATTTAGCGAAGTCACATCATAAAGGAAGTATTTGTCATTTCCTCAGCTAAAGTCGTCGGGTTTCTATCGTTCGAAGTAAAGCAGACTGAAAAGACATGGGTGAAAACTAATTTTATTGGTATTTCTCTTCAGTTTCTAATTATTGCACGACAGTAGCCGTTCTTCCTGTGGCTCCGTCTATTTGAGTTGGAAGATGTTAGACTAATGAGAATTGGAAACAGTTGGCTTTTAAGCGAGCAGGTGATGACCACTCCACTTCGTAGATTAGCGATTCAGCACAAATGAATGTAAATGATGAACTTATTTGAGTTTGTCTTTCAGGTATAAAGATGGTTTGTAATGATGAATGCTAAGAGGTTATTCAGTATTTAAGTTGCTTAAGTGTTTTTACACTATGCTAGAGTGGCTTGTGTTCATCATATATATAGTGGTTGAATAACAGCATATTTGACAAAGTGTACTGCAACATTTCATAAGTGAAAAGTTTGTTGTAGGCTGTACACTTACAGACCTACAAAGATTGCTGAAGCCTCTTTTACACACAAGGCTAGAGTAAAAAACAAATCTCATAATAATATGGCCACCCAACTCTTACCAGTTTCCAACCTCTGTTGACCTTTACTGTTTAGTAATACGTCTTCCGACCTGTGACATTTTAAGGTGTCAATAAAGTTACTGGCCATTGCAGTCGCAGTGATTTAAGATGCACTACAAATATCTTTATGAGCGGAGTCAGTATGTGGATACCCACCAGATCTATCAATCAGGATCAACACAGATGACACTATGGCCTGTCACAAATCTGGAATTCCCCAGTAATGGGAATAAAATATGAAGAATTGAAAAATTTTAGACTTTTGACGCTATACGTATTGATATATCTACAGGAAGCATTTCCGTTGTCTAAATAACCCTTATTTGTTTAGAATTCCCCTCAACAGTTGCACATATTTACGTGATAGTTTCAACGACTCTCCGTTTTAATGTGCATAATATACAAAACAGAGAGGTAGGAATATGTAGACTATATTGAAATTAGAAATTCATAAGTTGTGTAATACTTGTGAAAAATGAGTGCAGTCTGTATGAAAATAAGCACATTGGTATTCTGCAGTGGCACCGTTCAATTTAGGATATTTCGAATTTTGTAATTACGATTTGCATTTCGAATTTTTATGGTTAAACATTTGTTTCTTATCGATTAGATTAATCATTCAGCTTCAAAACAGTAATTTTGAACTACATGGAACCAACACTAAATTCCTTCGAGAACTTTGTTTTGAATTAACAGCCTGAAAAAATAAGTAAATTCTGTGCTAACATAGAGTTCTCAAAAGTTCGCTGTGGCTCATTAAAGCATAAACTTAGTTTTTCTAGGACTCGAAGTACGATTGGAGGACATTCTTCTACTGGAACTGTATCATTCCAGAAATCTCGTCATACTTACATGAGATAACCTCGTATTCAGTTGTTGTTGTGTATTAACGCCCTATTTTACCCTACTTTAAATCAAATCCACAGCGTAGCGAAACATTCTGCGTTGTCATCTCCCACCTCATTTTATTATCCATTATTAGGTAGTTGTGGTAGCTCACTTTATTTTGCGGACAATCTGTCTGAGTGACGTAGTACCAGATAGGATTGTCCTTCAAATATACAGTACACAGTCGGAACACTTCCACTATTCATTTATGTATCCACTTAATGAACGATCATGTAAAAAATTAAATGTCATTCAATGCTTGTTATTTTCAAATTCTATTTTCCATTCTTATTTTTACATTTCCTAATAAATGCTCATTGGAATGACATAGTAAATGTTGTTCTTTAAAAAATTTTGTCCTTAATACTTCCCGTTTGTGCAGTCACAAATTTATCTCGATATCAAAACTTCTTTCTAACATTCAATTTACCTTGATTTTTATTTTTGTAATACCTTTGTTAATATCCTCACCCAAACATTTCTTCTGTTGTTAAATGAACCAATGGATCACGTGAAATTGAGACAAGTCATCTTTATGGAGGAACTCGAACTGAACTGCTGAGTGAAATGTTGGAATTATTACTTTATTTCATACCTGCTTGTGTTTGTTCAAATAAAGCTTCGAATAAACTCATCTATGTGATCTCAGTCAATTACTGGGATTAATGGGAAGAAAGACAATATTTTCTTTTATGTCGAATGCCATTCTCCTTCAGCATACAGCCCTTATCCAATGGGCGGACTGTTTCAATATTTTATATCCCTCTTGTAGATTCCTGTAAAATTACATTACTAACTAAACCCGTTTTTATAATAATCATCTATTCGATTTGGATCACTTTGCATCGTCAGCTTTGGATACTCATGAGTAACCCTCATCCATACGATAATGAAAACAAAACACTTAGTTCAGCGAAGAGGTTCCTTTCTACGAATTCATTTTCTTTAACTGTACAATCGCATTTACATATAATTTTTTCACGAAAGGGCAGCAACAAAAGTGATGAGTTGTTAATGTTAGTCAATGCATAAAAGAAGTTGAATAAGTGTAATGGAGTTACACAATAAGATGAACAACCTAATGCGTGAGTTGTGATCAGGATGCATATAGAAACGAAGGAAGATATGGAATTATGTGAGAATTGTGAAGAAATACAAGAGTTATTATGAGTTAGAAAATCAGGCACACAAACATCAAGTCAGTAGAAATCAACAAGGTTGCCTCCATGATAGTAGAAGTGGTCGAATAATTTTCCTTTGTAGGAATACCTCCGGTTTTTCCAAATGAACAGTTAAAGCTTCAGCAATACAAAGGAGACGGAGGCGTGTCGCCTATGGCAGGTTATTCTTCACTTCGTAGACTACTTTGAAGGAGGCATTTTTTGGGGATGGAATGACCAGTACTGAAAAGGTACTTGACTGGTTACAGAAATCTTATTTATTCTTAAACCATTGGGAAACTCTGCGTATAGCTTTACTTTACTTCGCTTTACATAGTTCACTTGTTCTTTAAAAAATTGTATACGGTTCTGAAGCGGTCCTTGAATTACTGAAGTACGTTACTCAAGTTATTATTCACGTGGCATTTTGATATAATTCTTCCACTGTTATTACATGGAAATGTTAGTTTTTCACAATCAGTTGTAAATTATCTCCTGTTATTTGATATTAGATAGTTGGAGGCAATCGGCAGGAAGCCTTGGACCTAGGTTTCGTGCTAGTTGGCACGTGACATTCATATGATCCTTTCATGTTAAAATATCCAAGAATGTAAATAAAGGTTTATCATTGTCACAATAGGCTTATCATATTAAAGCATTGGGGATATTCTAGTAGTCTAAAGTGTGAAGAAAAAAATTACTACTCCAAAAGATCTACATTCCCCCTATCTCTCATACAACTGAATAAAGTGTTAAAGCGTTAGTTATATCATCCTTCTGCTCGTTGGGAAATATTTGTATTTTGTTACAACTTTAAATTCTCAACTTTGTTACTGCAAGTCATATTGTTTAATTCTAAATTAAATATCTCACACCACTATGCACTTACTGTTGGAATAACAGTTAAAATTGCAACCCTATTACAATCCCATGCTATAAATAATTTTATTTAATCATACTGGACCGGTTCACATAACTTAAAACTCCCACTTATCCCGTACTCCCAATATAATTTTACAAGGAAGACGTTTTGCCAAGATAAAAATGCCTTAGATACAGTGCTCTACATTAGAATGGTGTTTATTAATCTTCGTTTGTTCCTGTCTGCATCTGTTACAGTTGCGAAAAAGTCCCTTTATTAAATATCTTTCAAACAGGTATCTCCTTTGATAAATCTAAATAAGTCATTCCGAAGGCAAATTTCGCCAGACAATGCTATATCGTAGTTCCTCTATAATCGCGTTACAGCTGACAATTAATTAATCTATGTAGTAGTGGGTAGTGATTAAAACCAATTCCCAGGAATGCCCAGCGGTATAACTCACTGCTAGTTTTCCTATGGAATTGCTGGGAAATACACTTATCTTCTAGATCTATATGGTTTAATAATTAATTCTATATTTGGAAAGGAAAATCGATTATTTAAAATTATCATATTAGCTAATTTAACGATGTCTTACTGAGTCATGTGAATATTTTGTTTTACTAAGCTCTACATAATTTTTTAACTATATGATTGTTCGGACTATTTAACATTCTAAAGGCCAGTAAATTTGTTTGTACTTGTTTTTCTCTTTTAATTCTAATTTATGGAAGATGCCGTATAGACGTATTCTAAGGCACTTTTAGCCAAAACAGTGATTTATAATTAACAAAGGAAATAAAATTTTTGCTGTGTACGTGTTTTTTCTTATGACTCTATAAGAGTTTTTCGTCCAATAATGATTTCACCCAATGAAAGTCAATATAATTCAATATAATGGATACTACTTATCTTACATTAATTTTAATTGTGAAACTTTTTAATAGGACTATTTTAGTTTCACATGGTTTTACTGATTAACGAAGCTTTTTTTAGATCAGTTAAATGGACAGTAAACTAGCTACAGCTGTAGAAGAATGGATGAAATATGATAAGGTGGGTGTTTTACTGGTTTTATTTGTTCATCACTGAAGAATGAAGTTACGCGCTCACAAATTCAGTCAATGAAGGATAAAGGAGAATGGGATAATTTAAAAAAGATATTACTCAAAAGAATGGCTTTTGGAACTGCTGGTTTGCATAATAAAATTTTGCTGACATATTGCAGGATTACGAGCAAAAATGGGTCCGGGATTTTCTCAGATGAATGATTTAACAATTATACAAACAACTCAGGTAACCGAAATTAAGTGTATTCTTTGACCACTTGAAGGGATTACTTAAATATTCACTAAAAGTATTCTCAAATCTAATGTCCGATGGAATTATAGTAGGTTATGATGCTCGCCACAATAGCAGGAAGTAATTTTTCATTTACTTTTTAAACCAAATTACTTCAATGATTTTAGGTGGGCGTTTATCGTTGCTAATGTATTTCTTAATGCTGCTTGCAAAGTCTACCTATTTAGAGATGCATTGCCAACTCCTTTGGTGGCATTTGGCGTCACACATTTCAAGACTTCTCTAGGTGTTATGGTAACTGCATCACATAATCCAAAGGATGATAACGGTTACAAGGTAAGCTGTGTTAGTTTGTCAATTGTCTTTAAGGTTTATTGGTCAAATGGATGTCAGATAACCAGTCCCCATGACAAGGGTATATCAGAATGTATCCTTCAAAGTTTAGTTCCTTCGGAGTCATCGTGGAATTTGGAATCTGTAGAGAAAAATTCTTTATGCATTGATCCAATGCCTGGAATTTTGGAAACCTACTGTAAACTACAAAAAAGCAAACTATGTTTTACAGAGTAAGTTATATTTGTTTGTTCTGTAATGTCACCACGTTCTAAAAGCAGTCCCATCACTTGAATGAATTCAAACAATGACATGTAAATCAAGGTTTAAGTTAATATGTAATTAACAGTTCACCTTGAAGTTCGTACAAGTTCTTGATGAAAGTGGATGTTATGTTTGTCTCATTCTTGAATTCGCCTAACAAAACTCTCTTCAACTGTTCTGCCCTAGGATTGAATCAGCTAATTTTGTTCGTTCATATTATTACTTTTATGAAGTCATCCTACTTCAGTATGAAGTAACTGGAGTAAACTGGTCGATATCCCTGTAAACGCATTAGATACATGTTAGTACCCTGTAGAAAGTTGCATCTAAGTTCTTACCTTGTCTATCATACGAATATCCTTTCACTGAGTAGTTCAGTCGAAGACAGGATTATTCAGCTATTTTTTAAGCATAAAATTAATATCTTTAAATGTGGTATGATGTAGGAACAATTTAGAGATGATAATGGATATTTAACATCCAACATTAAGTGTAGTTACTAATAGTGTTGAAACATTTTGTTGATTAGCACTATTGTATAGCTTCTCTAACAGATATTAATTAAAAATGAATACAGCATTACAACACTGGTTGTTATCTGATTATCAATTTCATAAGATTTTATTTTTCCTTTCGATAACAATGTTTATAATCACAGTATACCTATCTAATGAAGTGTGTACTGCACAGCAGTTCACTGTGAGAATTGACCGTTGAAATAGAGGATATGAAGAGGCTAGCTTTTTTGACCATAGATATTTACGTCCTATCTCCCGCTTTATTATTATTCCCTTGGGTTGCAAGTAAAACATAGGGCTTCAACAGTACATCTAAACTTCACCCGGTTGTCTGCACTCCATTTTAGATGTCTCTACGGTTGTTCACAAGTCTTCATCTCCTCCTCACATCATCTCCACATCACCTTCAGACCCATGTTCAACTCATCGCTTCCCATTCGGCTTCATCTTGAGAGATTCGTATATGATGTCACTCAACGGTTTTATCAGGATATGGCCTATCCATCTCCATTTCATTCTGAATATTTGTTGGGCGATAGGTGTTTGGTTGGTCGGTTGGTTGTAAGAGTTTCCTGTTGCCTATTCTTTCTGGTCATCTGATCTTCAATGTCGATTGGAGGCTTCTGTTAGTGAATGTTTGTAGCAGGCTATTCGAAATGCTTTTCTTGGCACGTATTAAGTGGTATGATATTTTGAATAATAACGATGGTCAGGCGTAGAGTATGGAATGTCAAGTGATGAGACTGTGAAACTGCGTAGACTGAGATGAATGGGACACTTTAGGAATGTCATGTTATGTCTTTCCTCATCGAGCAATGTTGACCAGTATAGGATCAGTTTGGAAAGAACTAAGGGATAGTGAAACCAATATATGGTGTCAATTCACGAATTCCTGGATTGCAGGCTTGAGTCACGTAGGGTGGAGTAGAATGGGGGTCCACGAAACGCTGATAAACAATACTTGGAGACTATTGGTAATACGGCTCATAATCGTTCTCAATGGCGCAGATACATTTACTCTTTGTGATATCCTAAATTCATTAAATCCTCGTGCTTCCCTACATAATTATTCTTTCTACCGTACATATCTGCTGATTAAATTTCTTTTGAATTGCCTTTTTTCTTTTCTCCACGTTTATGTTCTATAAGGATTGTGGCGGCTTAAACTGACGCACTTCTGTTCAGAGTTGTGTGCTGAGAATCTATGGGGTGGCTTGTAATTCTAAAGTAAATAACAGTTTTTATACTCACATGTGTAGTTGATCTGCAACTTGAAACCACATTGACATATAGTATGATTTTATTTTTCTATTCTCTTTCATACCCCTACTACCTCATATTTTTAGATCTGAAAACCAGAAATGTCAGATGCCTTTTGTTTATACACCTATGCATGGTGTAGGCTGGGAAGCAGTCAAAGCTTTGATCTCAGCTTTCGGTTTTCCACCGCTTAAACCAGTCCCAGAACAAGTATGTGTCAACAAGTTTTCTTTTTGTTAATAAGTAATGTAATGTAGGGAATATTAATATAATCCTTCAAAGTGAGGTCTTAAAGACTCATACTTATGTAGCTCTGCTGTCTATATGCACTAATCCATTTGAAACAATAAATTGATTTTTCATTCAGTAAGGAATATCATTCAACATCAGATTATTAAACAAGAATACAAGTGTCCGTATTTGAGTTTTACACCTCACTGATTAGTAAATTAAAAGCGAAAAAAATATTTTCTGGACTTAATAAATTTATATTTGCGTAGAATGACAATCAAACCTGTAACCTAAATTCATCGACTTCGAAACGCCATCAAAAGAGTTGACCGAGAAGTAATTCGGAAACTGCTTCAACACTGCTGCGTGCACTGCCCAAGTCTTTATCAACCTCATTCAACATCCGTATGACAGCGCACCGTGTCAGGTGATCCACAACGCAAAACTCAGAGAGGCGTCCCAAGTGAATACAGGACTAAGACAAGGTTGTCTGCTTCTTATCACCGATGATATTCTTAATTGTGGTGGACTGGGTTATGCGTCAAACTCTGCATGGGTAGTGAGAAGACAGGAATTCACTGGACCACCGATAAGAAGACTCTAGGAGATCTGCATTTCGCACATTTCGGATGATTTATGTCTAATGTCACACAAACTCGAAGACTTGCAGGTGAAAATCAACAAACTGTCAGAAGAAGCAGGCAGCGAAGACAGGACTCCAGGTGAACACAGAGAAAACAGAGGTGATGAAGATAACCAGCCAACAACAACGACAATCAGCACCAATCACCATCAACGGGAGAGATTTCACAGAGGTTACCTCCTTCGCTTATCTGGGAAGCGTCGTTTCAACTACAGACGACATGGTGGTTGGGGATGTCAAAACTAGGATCGGAAAGACAAGACAGACCTTCATCACTCTGAAGTCAGTGTGGAAATCTTCTGCACTCAGCCAGCATACACAACAAGATTTATATTTCCAACACAAATGTGGAGTCAGTCTGTCGGTTCTTCTAAACGGGTCAGAAACTTGCACTGTGCGTCACGAAAAGGATTTCCAACAAGTTACAGACTTTAATCAACAGCTGCCTTCGCTGTCTCCATACTGAAGATCGAATGGCTAGAAAGAAGTAGTAACAAGAAACTCTGGCAACAAACCAACCACGAACCGATCGCTTAACAAATATGTTGGAGAAAGTGGACATGGATTAGGCATAAGTTCAGGAAACGTCGAATGACATCGCGCGCAATGCAGGCCAACGCTCGAGTGGAATCCCGATGGGAATTGACGAGTGGGTCGTTGGTGCGAGGGTGACATGGAGGAGATCGTGTGAGGAAGAGATGAGAGATTATGGGCAATCGTGGACTCAGCTGCAGAGAACGGCAGAAAATAGAACAAAGTGGAGATGTATTTTTGAATCCCCATGTTCCACTCGGAACCCAAGGCAATCATAATAATAAAATGATAATATGTACCTATCAAAATAACGTTAAGTGCGAATAATTTTCTATATGGAGAAAGTGAAATAACAAATATTAACTACAGATAAAGTAGTTAAATTACAGTGAAATAGTTAACTGTGGTTTAAAAAATAATTGTGATTACATGAAAACGTCTCAACATGTAAAGCTACTGAAGAAATACATCAATGGTTAATTATAATACTAAAATGCACAGAATGTATCGATTAATCGGTGTATTTAGGAATAAAGTTGGTGCATGATATTTTATCATTAAACTGCTGTTTATTTACCACTAATCCAAACTGGAAAAACTTGGGTAGAGAACTTACAATGCTTTGGCTTGCTGATGAGACGAATGTGTAGGGAAGCATGTATTAATTGATTGTTCATTTATCTCAATGACTGTTCTGAATAAAAATCTGTCTGTAGTACCTAACTGTATAGTAGATTCCAACTGAATTTTTTTGAATTGGAGGGAATATTAAATTTAACACAGCTTGTTTTTTGTTGATATATCACTTACTTCTCAGCATTTTTTTTCATTGTATGAACTAGTAAAGGTTTACTTTTACAAGATAACTGAACATAGAAAGATGAAATATCAAAGTCTTTGCAGTCTAATATTGTATTTATTTATTCTTTTGTAAAAGATTACTCCTGATCCAGAATTTCCAACTGTAGACTATCCTAATCCAGAGGAAGGTCGTTCTGCGCTCAATTTAGCTATGAAACATGCAGATTCTATTAATAGTACAATCATTTTCGCCAACGATCCTGATGCTGATAGACTAGCAATAGCAGAAAAACAAATATCGTGAGTGAATTACACTTGAATGCAGTTATAATTATTATGAAAGTTGATAATTGCTTTCATTTATTCATTCTTATATTGAATGGATAGATGTACAAAAGTGCGGGATTTTGAGGGGCTTGTTGCCCCAGGGTATCAGTAGTTATCACTTCATTATAATCCCGTTTTTTTATTTTCTAGCACAAGATACTGTAACGATCTCGCTTGCCTGACGCTAACTGTTATCGTGTTTGTACGTAACATACGAGATCTGGAACCAGTTAGCTCGAATATTTGTGTAGTTACCTTCTAACTTTGAACTTAAGTGATACAAGTTTATGTACTCAGAAATTATTCTGACTGCACAACTGAATATCATAATGTCTCTTTCAAAGTTTCGAGTGTTTCACTAAATTTATTTCTTCCTAGTAAATCCTGATACTGACTACATAATATCTACAGCGTGAAATTTACTTGAATTCATTCATTTACATTCAATTAATCATCGAACTAACTGTATGGTTTTCGATTGGATTTTTATGTTTAGATGGTAATCGCCTTTACTAGTCAGTATTTCCAGGGTAGTTTATTGGTTGGCTGTTTTCTCTGATTTTACAATATTATGTATGAGTGATTTTTGTCAAAACTGAACTAACTTTTTGCATTCAGGCACCTTACCCGATTAACTGACACCTCCAACTTATAACGAATAGGTTTGCATCTAGCCAACTTATGTTTACTACTTCTACTGAAGAATATACAGCTAGAGCTTCCTATTGTAATTGAAATATTAAAAAAACATTTTGATGTGTTAGGCATTTACATGGGTTAAAAATGCTCACCTTTCATATGTCTCAATACCTGTCTATTTATGCATGTTGCCTGGTAAATACTTATCCACAATTTGACGTCTGTGTTTTCGATTTCTACTAAACAAGGAATTTGTACCCTTTTCTGGCTGCCCATTGTTATTTTTCCATTTATCATTATTCAGCATACAAGGTAAATATCGTCCAATGTTACCGACATGAGAAACTGTCTTTACAACCAATTCGAACTTATCCTAGTCACAAACTATTCATTATTGTGCACTGTATAGCTATTCGATCCATTTGTTGCATAGATGACCTCAATTTCTTTTAACTTCGTGTATCGGCTACACTGAAGTGTTACACATTCGAATTAGGTGTCTGTTGTGTGCATCTTAGTTACCAGTTTCTCTTTCATTGAATCAAATATTATTATTATTCTTTATAATAAGATTTTTAAGATGGTCAATATAAGTACTTAACATTTTTTTGCTTATTCATGTCTTTATAGTTGTATTATGTATGACCTTCACCGCAGGTATCAATTTATGGTGGTAGAAATATATGGTTCATTTTAGGTTAATGTGATTAAATATAGTCAGATTTTTATGTGGTATCCGCTTTTATGAACACATATCTAACAGATACGTTATTTTTTATTTAGACTAAATTAAAAACTTCATAATTTCGGAGGTTGGCATGTATAACAAATGTATGCATTATGAACTAAATTATACTGACTTTATTCAGTAAAATCGATATTTTAATATTAATGGGTAAGAGTGAAATCCTGACTAGGCGTCCGATACTTAAAATAGATTCACATATTTTCTATCCCATATGAGCATCACATCGGTTATAATCCACATCATTTATTATTATTATTTATTGTTCCCTTGGGTTCCTAGTGGAACATAGGGCTTCAACTGCACGTCTCCACTTGTTTCTGTCTTCTGCTGTACTTTTCACCTGCGTCCATGTTAGTCCATACTGTTTCAGCTCCTCTTCACACGATCTCCTCCATGTCACCCTTGGACGTCCCACTCGCCGCTTCCCTTTCGGGTTCCACTCGAGGGCCTAACGCGCGATGTCACCCAGTGGCCTCCTCAGCGAGTGTCCAATCCATCTCCACTTTCTCCTGCATATTTGTTGAGCGATTGGTTCTTCTTTTGTTTGTTCCCATAGTTTCTTGTTGGTGATTCTTTCCGGCGGCCATCTGATCTTCAGTACAGACCGAAGACAGTTGTTGATAAAGGTTTGCATCCTGTAGGAAATATTCTTTGTAACCTGCCAAGTTTCTGATCCGTATAGAAGAACTGACTTGACGTTTGTATTGAAAATGCGAATTTTGTTGTTGATGCTGAGTGACGAAGATTTCCAGATTGGTTTCAGGTTGATGAATGTATTTCTCGCCTTCCCGATTCTCGATTTGACATCCTCGTCCGTTCCTCCTGTAGTTGAGACAATGCTCCCTAGATAAGTGAATGAAGTAACCTCTTTCAAATTCCTTCCGTTGATGGTGATTGGCGGTGGATGTTGCTGCTGTTGTTGTTGTTGTTGGTTGGTTATTTTCATAACCTCCGTTCTCTCTGTGTTCACCTGGAGTCCTGTCTTCGCTGCCTGCTTCTTCTGACAGTTTGTTGATTTTCACCTGCAAGTCTTCGAGTTTGTGTGACATTAGACATAAATCATCCGAAATGTGCGAAATGCAGATCTCCTAGAGTCTTCTTATCGGTGGTCCAGTGAATTCCTGTCTTCTCACTACCCATGCAGAGTTTGACGCATAACCCAGTCCATCACACTTAAAAATGGAGAGTAGTGTACTGCAGTCGCCCGCTGATCTGCAGAAGCCCAAAGGACGAGATCCAACACCTGACCACTTCTATGTGTATATATCAGTTCACCTGTTGATGTGAAGCCAGGTACGTCGGTCGTTCGACGTGCATGCTGTCAAAACGGATCAAAGAACACTATCCAGCGTGGCTGCAGAAAGAAAGTAGTGGCCGTATAAGAAGTGCAATAATTCAACACCTAGTCACCACTGGTCATTCCATCTCAACAAACGCCTTCTTCAAAGTAATCTACAAAGTGAAGAACAACCTGCCAAAGTCAATACGTTTCCGTCTTGTTTGCATTGCAAAAGCTCTAGCCATTCAGTTGGAAGAACCAGAACGATGCTTTCAAAAGAAAATTATTCAACCACTTCTACTATCATGGTAACAACTCTGTTGATTTGACCTAACTTTTGCTTGTATGCTTATTTTTCTAACTATTTCAAACTCTTGCGTAATTCCATGTGTTATTTGGTTTCCATGTACACCCGGAGCACATTGCTTTCATCAAACTATTCATGTTATTACTTAACTCTTCTTTAACAATCGTTTGTGAAAACTCATTACTTTGTTACTACCCTCATATATCAACAACTAATTCATTTGCACTTATTAATTGTATATTCTTTTGTCAAATTTAATATACACACACATACAAAAATACCATGTATATTTGCGATTTTACAGCTATGAAAATGAATTCGCCGAAAAGAGACTCTTCGCTGAACTACTGGTTTTCTGTATATTAATGTTCGATTGGGGATTTTTCATGAATTAAGAATATCATCATTGATAAGAAGCAGACAGCCTTGGCTTACTCCTGGTGGCACAGTCGTTAGGACTCTCGCCGACCATGCACATGGTCCAAAGTTCGATCCCATACCGATGCACACCTGATATCAATGATCGGCCTGCTAAATTTAGGCTACCGATGTCACATGCGGAAAATTCAACACTTGTAACAAAATACGGTGTGGAATCAAGCTATATTCAAAATTTCCAACAAAGTTTCACTTCGAACGCCTCGCTGAGTTTTCCGTTGTGGATCACTTGACACGCGGCATTGTCACATGGCTGTTGAATGAGGTTGACAAAGACGAGATGGCTCTTCTTCCAATCAGTAGGCACCTTTCCTTCTTTCTTACAGTAATGGAGTGAGAACATCTGCTGTAATCTCTGGGGCCGTCTTCAGTGCTTCGGGGTGGGGGAATTCCGTCTAGTCCTGCTGCCTTCCCGGACTTCAGTAGCTTGACCACATTCACGATTTATCCTTTCGTTAGAGGATTGGTGTCCACTGGCAGTTCTGTGCGTGCTGTTGATCGTATTTCTGGGCAAGTTGTCAGTGGTAGTCGATTCAAGAGTCCTTTAAAGTGATCAACCCATTGTTTGATTTGTTTCTCCTCCTTAGTGATCAGGTTCCCTTGATGAGCATTTCTTATTGGTTTCATCATCTGGGTTGATCTCTTCCCGGATAGAGACTTGGTTATCTGATATAGAGTCCTGAAGTCTCTTTCGCCTGCGGCCTGCCTGTTTTGCTTCAGTCTTCTGTGTGTCATTGATTTGTCTTTTTTTTCTAGCACTCTTTTTCACTTCTCTATTCAGTGAAGTGTACATTAAACTCAGCTTCTCCTTCTGTTGTCCATCTTTGCATTGAGTCATCTTTTCTTTCACCATCCTCCTATCCTCTCGTCTTTTAGCTACCAGGTAGTTGTCCGGTGACAGTCATTCCTAGTCGTGTGTCTTCCTTCTTCCTAGAACAGCTGTACACGTTTCCTTAAATATCGCTTTCAGAGAGTTCCAAGGTTCTTCCACACAGGTTTCCTCAGTGATGCCACGTAGTGTCCGACTTTGCTCTGATCTGATCTGTAGCGAAGACATCCCTTGCACTTTTGTCCTTCAGTTTCTGAATGTTGAACTTGAATTGCGGTCTGTCTCCGTTTGTTTTCATGGATTTCAGCTTCACCTTGAAGGTCCTTTGAACTAGATGATGGTCTGAGCCGACATCTACTCCCCTTCTCGACTTTCTATCCAGCAGGCTGCGTCTCCACTTCCTTGAGCAGTATTGAGATGAAATCTATTTGGTTCGTGGTATGTCCGCCAGGCGAAATCCATGTTGCTTTGTGTATATCCCTGTGACTGTACACGCTCCCTCCAAGCACGAAATTGTTAAAAGATCATAAGTCCGCGAATAATTCTCAGTTCTAATTCATTTCTCCTAGCCAGAGCCTGTCGACACATGATGAGTTCTCTTCTTGTATTATCTGCTCCCAGTTTGGCTGGCATTCATATCACCCATGAGGATTTTGATGTTACCATTCGGAATGCTCTCCATTTCTGTTTGTAGTTGTCTGTAAAAATCTTCCTTCTTCTTTTGTTCCGTGTTGTTTGCAGCACTGTGCATAGCATTGGACAATTGTGACCCTCCTTCCTTTTGAGTTGAATCTTGCTGTCATAATCCTGCATGAGGAGATTGGTTCCCACTACTTCAGGGTTCTGGCTGCCACTGGTGACATCATGATAGCCGCTCACTGTCTCAGTTTGCTCGTGGTTTTCGTCTGAGTGACGACACTGGAGTAGGTTACTGACTCTCCAGTTGACAATTTGACAGTGCACATGTATTCCATCTGCTCTTGCAGATTCCCAGGACTTCCAAACCATATCTTCGCATTTCTTTGGCTACCTGGGCAGCCTTCCTTGTCTCGTACATCGTACGGACATTCCACGTACCCATTCTTACTCTTGCTTTCATCGAGAGAAGACACATCGGCTGACTGGCTTCCCGAAGGCCTTCACCAGCTTCCTGTGTCATTTCGCCTCTCCGATTCGAGCGAAGAATGAGAATTTTATTTGAAGTTTTTGTATTTTAAATATATTTACTGTGTGTGGAAGTTTCTCTAGCAGTTTGAAGGATAAAGTGGTGTGGGGTTGCTAGCCCCACGCCCAGCGCTCCCTCTTTATCCGGGCTTGGGATCGGCTAGAAAACTGGCAAGCTACTTAACCAAGTGCGTGAACAACATCTCACTATAAGTAATACTTGGCTGCAGTGACGACGAGTTTAGGGAAAGTATATTCTATGAGAATGTAGGATTATTTTACACCTTTCAGTCTCTACTACTTACAACAAGCTCCATTCGTCCATTAAGCAATGCACTGTTGCGTATAATTTGGAGTTGTGTGAAATCATGACAATGATTGTTAGGAATCATTTATTCATGCGTAAATGGTGATTGAAGGTAGTGGGAACAGTAAATACGTTTCTGTAGATTTCCGGTTAAATGTTTTCAATGGTGATACTGATTGCTACTTCATGAGCAGCTCATAGATTTCAATCAGTTCTCTTTTCCTCAAACTCACGTCCACATGTCCCGAGCAAATGACTGCAACTATTGGACGTTGAATATTTTGTGTAGTGACGGAATGGCTATAATAAGTTTTTGTACATCTGTTCCGAATCTTCTCGTTTATTTCCTGTTGATGTTGCTGTTTCTCTATTTGATGTATTTACATTGAGATATTTGCGTATGATGTGAATGAGTTGTCCAGTGAACATGTTTTCCGTATTAGGCTGTGAGGTACTTACTTACTTGTGGTAGTTTTGATTAGCTATGCTATACCAGTCTTCCTAAAAGGTAGTATGCCTAATTACCCAATCAATCAGTTATCCATCTGTCTTGCAATTATTGACTTGACGCTAAAGATTGATGTGGTGGCTGGCTTAATAGCTCCCCTTCGTAATAATTTCTCAGTTTTGCATCCGGCTGAATATGCTTCTGGTGTCTGTGTAGACAACGGGAAATACACTAAACTACCTGTTACAATCGTTTGCGACTAATCATGTGATTGTTTTAAGCAATAGAAAACTCCTTTCCTTTTTTCGATTGTAGTTTCTCCCACATACTGGTAATTTCTTATTTTTCTGTCTTCTGCAACTTTTAGTAACCTGTGTTGATACACCTTCTTGCCACCTATACCTCATTGCATCTGTCCATATTATATAGACTAACGTCCAGGAGCTCATCATATTGTACATTTCTTCCCAATGTTTACTGATCAGGCTGAAAGTTTGATTGTGCTAACCCGATGATGTTTTATGAAGACTTCTGTTTCTCTCTGCGTCAAAAGTCTGCTGAGCACATTGTGTGTTCATAAGAGTACTGAAACTGTTAGTCCGTTTGGCGCAGATGACTCAGTGTAACCGGTTTGCGTAATTTCTGTAGATGTTCAATTTTTTACACAAAAATTTCAAATGAACTACTTTATGTAGTGTATTTCAGCATATTTATACTTTTAAACTGGTAGATAATATTAAGACTTATTCGCCACGGGCTTTCTCTGTATGTATTTAACTTGTAGTGGTCAGTGGAAAATTTTCAACGGTAATGAACTTGGAGCGTTATTTGGTTGGTGGTTAGTTATGCACTGGATGAAAACTAATGCGAAATCAACCTGTACGTCATTATTAATCTCTCTTTATCTTCATTTAAATTCCAGACTGAAGGTATCAGGCTTGTTATTAAGAAATTCAGATGCATAAGTCTTTACCTGAATGGACATCCTCCACGGTCTATTTTAATAAATTAATAACATGTTTTTGATGTAATTCACAATATGTTTGTTAGTTAACTAGCCTAACTACATAAAAACTACTTATAACTCAGCTTTATCAGTCGCATATGCTAGAGACATAAGCTATCAATAGTGTTATCACCTCTTTCACTATCGTAGGGGCAGTTGAGAATCAATTAATTGCTTTTCCACACTGGTGTTCTATTTTTGTAATGTAGGTGGTAGTAGAGTCCAGGTTGTAGTGATCATCTGGTTTTCATCTTGTATTTCCATTTCATCAAGAATAATATGCTTCAGATTTGTGTGATAGGTGTTGAATAGCATGGTAATGGCACACGTATCTTCATAATTTAATTTTTGCAGTTGAGTAATAATTGGTTGACTAAAAGGTAGTAATTTGTACAGAAATACATCAGTTTAGGTTGGTTCTCTTCAAAGAAGTACACATAAAATAAGAGAACAGAAACGTAGCTATATTACAATGTGATGTAGACAATAAGTAAATTAATGAAGATACATCTGGTTGGATACATCAGTACCACTTTGAACGACTTTGATCCACTTCATCAACATTCTCCAACCACTCATTCTTAGCATCATGAAGACACCAATCAATCAGTCTACACCACCTTAGGTAACTCAGAACAACACCCAGTTATTGATATCATTTTTCGGTCTTACCGCGCGCAACCCTTTTTCAAAATAATTCTACTTTATTCAATCTTACTCGTCGAATAAGGCAGTAGCTTATATTTGAGTTGAGCCTATTACTCAAGTAGTATTGCACTTTTCCATTTGAAATGGAAAACCAGAAAGTAAATAATCAGTTGCCTTCAAGACTGTTTGTAACATAAAATGAGATATAACCATCAACCTTGGCATCGTAATTCAGTCAGTAGTGTGTGGCTGATGAATTGCTATTCCATGTATTGTTGCAAACTCAGTACTGATTTTGTTACATTAGTAATCTTTCTTCAAAAATGTGATCATGTGTTCAATGCTTGTACATCCTATGCATCTTATTATTGTGACATAGTATCTTCAATGTACCTAGAATAAAAAAATCAACTTTCACCTCCATTCTCTTCGTAATTGAGATGAAAGACTGAAAATGAGAAACAGAAATCAGAAGTTTATGGTAGTATATTTTATTTGATTGAGTGTAACTTTTTAGGATAATTATTATTCTGATCATATATATATATATTAACAACGTGTTTAGTGTAATTTTTTGACTGACAGTGAACAATAATAATAATAGCACTATGGATTTTTGAATGACGGCTGTGAAGAGGAAAGTAGCAACAGCGTGAACTATAGAAAATAACACCGAACTTTGCATTGTTCAGTAAATTTATTTTCAGATGGGAAAGCAATTTAGGCTTTTAGATATACTTGTGATAACTAAATATCCGAGATAAAGAAATGTCAGCTGCTACGAGGAGTATCCAGTAGTTTAAGAATAAAATACAATCAAGCAAATTAACTTATGTATGTTAATAGACTATAGATACTAACAACATGAAGTTGTTTAAACGTAAAACCACTTTGGTCGGATTGACTTTGGAGTAATATGTGTTAAAAATTCTAAAAGAGTTTTAACTAGTTAGGCACGTTGTCACCATGGTAAAGATTGATATTTGAAACATAGCTCTGCTTTGAAAACATAAATTCCTGAAGTTTCTGCAATACTTGGAGGATATAGACATAAACCCATGTTAGTTTAGAGTTATTCAATATGTTGAGACTAAAAGATGACATACTTCAATGTTCCAAGAATTGTGTGACTCCTGCTGTGTTTGTACTGACAACAATAATAGCTGTGTATATTTAGCATGCAATTCCTACCTCTTTAATGAGGATGTTAGAGCAGTATTGTTTTTCAAGGGACATTTTGATGAAGTCAGTCAACAGAAGTTCATATATCTGACATTGCCACTTACTTGAGTTGTTAATTTTCTTATTTCATGGTTAGGTTTTTTTGTTTCTATAGAAACACTAGAGTTACGCCTTCATCTTTCGACTTATCATAATGCTTACTTACAGATTCGAAAGCTGCACTGTTATCCAGTACAGTATCATCTAAAATATTAGAAACTATCGCCAAAACTGAAGGATTTCTCTTCGAAGAAACCCTAACAGGTTTCAAATGGTTAGGCAATCGGTCGCGTGAGTTGGAATCTAAAGGTATCAAAACAATTTTCGCCTTCGAAGAAGCTATAGGTAAGGTATATATTGTCTTTCTTTATGTAATTCTACTAATTTATTGCATCAGAAGTATGCAGCGATTCAGCTGTTAAAAGCTAGTGAATAGTCTTGTATTCTCAATAGTCTTATTATTATTATTAATATAATACTTTGACATATATATATATACATGTGATGTGGAGATGATGTAAGGAGGAGATCAGGACTTGTGGGCAACCGTGGAGACATCTAAAATGGAGTGCAGACAACTGGGTGAAGTTAAGATGTACTGTTGAAGCCCTGTGTTCCACTCAGAACTCAAAGTAATAATCATAAAATAAATCTACACGTTTCTGCACTGAATTTTGTAGTGCCATAGAATTGTCAGATAAATAAAAGTTGTTTAAACACCGGTTTTTGATGTAGGAGAAAAGCTAAACGCAAATGTGATTACAACAGTCACTGCACATTTTAACCCGCAATATTGTGTGCTGGAAAAGAAGAATGGTAGAAGGCTGATATGCTTCATAATCAAGATAAAGTAATAATTATTATACATCTGAAGTACGCTAAGGACTATAAAACTTTTATCTGTAATTGGTGACACGTAAGTTAGTTCCTGAGAGGCTCCCTGCTGAAAGATGGTAGCGTGTTTACTTATCTCTTTAGTTATTGCGCATTTCTTATCTTATTCCCTTCACATAATGGAAAGTCTATAACTGACTTATTGATGTATATCCTTGAACAATGTGAGGACTAGATTTGTTCTTGGAGTTCATCCCTGTCATGTTACACTATTTATTGGAGAAATTCGTTTATTTTCTACTTATTTTAACGTTATAATATCCTTTAATTTACTTCTAATGTCAGGTTTTATGTGTGGCGATGTTGTCTGTGATAAAGACGGTGTTGGAGCTCTAGCAGTAGCGGCTGAAATGACAGCTTTTGTTTATAGAGAAGGGAAAACTTTATCTGGACAGTTAAGTGATATATATGAAACGTAAGTTCTCATTATCTTATTGTCAAAACCTACATATTACTGGTTTTTTATGAGCACTTTCAGCTGTCACTTTCTGATGAGAAATAACTCCTTTTGTTTTACCTAGTTAAATACATTTTAAATCGATAAAGGGGTTGTTAGGAAATTGACTGGCTTCAAGATATTTTATCGCCGATTAGTATCGACTAGGAAACCACGCAGAACTAAGATGCACCAGCCAGTGTTAAATAACTTTCTGTAAATAACCGAGTTGCCTAACACTTCATTTTCCACTGAAATCTGTCTTCCAAATCAACTTCTCGAAACCTATGTTCTTTTTATTCCTTCACGTTCCCAGTGGAACATAGGGCTTCAAGCTAGAGGCTTGAAGTTTCTGTAGCAGTGTTTATTTTTACAGGGTGGGGTTGCTAGCCTCATGTCCAACCTTCCCTCTTTACCAGTCCTATTACTGGCTTAGCGAAGTAAAGGAGTGCGTCGGCCGGGTATTGAACCTCGGACCATGTGCATGGTCAGCGAGCATCCTAACCACTGTGCCACCGACGCCCATGTAAGCTCAGTGAACTCATTTGTCCATCGTTTTCATTGTATGTTGTTTTAACTACAATATAAGACTAAAGAAATTAGAAAGTGTTTTCCATCAGATTCTAATCCACTGACTGGATAATAACTTGCTCGCCACGTTATCTGACACTTGTCTTCTCGATTTCATAGAATGATGAATCCCAGAAGATAACGATACAGCTACGCGGCACTTATATATCTTCATCTGTTCTTTAATTGACATCAATATGCTATGCGAACTGCCTTGAAAATCATCAATTTCCTCTCATCATTTTGGTTATTGATTGTCAATGCATATTTTACTTTAAGCTCAGTCTGTACTGCAGATTGTTTGAAGTCATAGTCACAACATCTGAGACCTGTTAGTGGATGTAAACAAAAGGCGTCTGTAAAGTCATTATGGGTTTTCGTAATAATACCTACACTATGTGTATTATATATATATATATATATATATAGAGAGAGAGAGAGAGAGAGAGAGAAGAGGAAGACCTTCATAACACAGTAACAAGCAAAATTGTTCAAGGTTTTAAAGTAAATTTGCCCTTGTCAAAAGTTTAACTTCATTTAGGTATTCTGTAATCCCATATCACCTATGTAATTTTATACTCTATTGAGTTGTAATTCTGTTGTAAAAAGTTGTGCTAAATTTTACTTCCGATGACTGTATAACGACACAGAGCAACGGGTGAACAAAAGACTTTTAAACTTCACACAAGTATTAAAATCAGTATTGATGAAGTATGTATTGAGGCGACAAGAGTGGACCGTGACTTGCTTTCATTACATCGCAAAGGAACAGAGTCAAGTAAAGAATTTCAGAGTAATACGTTAAATCTCCATATGACATAAGTAATTGTTTGTTTATTTTCACACTGATCAATCTGCTTAAACTAAAGGAGTCATCACTAGGCGTTAAACATCAGTCGCGTTGTGGTCCAGTGACTTTCGAGAAGTATCTGATGTTATTTAAAGATATTTATTGATACGATTACTCAGTAACTGACGTTTTACTGAAGCGTAATTGTTAGGATGCAACGTTAAGTAAGTTTGCACTATCAATCAGACTGAAGTCATATAGATGACTGCAGTTTGTCACCACTCATTAAAGGTGAAGTAGTTTACACATTAATTAAGTGTAGAGCTGCTTAAATACAAGATTTCGTTTGATGCATATGAATAATAGGGGCAAGTAAAGCTATACTTCATTCTCGAAAGTGTATGCTTTTAATGAAATAGTGAATTTCTATATTTTTCAAGTAAATGTTTTGTTGCATGTCTGAACAATCCCTGGTTTTTATAAAGGGTAGGTCATCTTAATCTAAGTAAAAGGTCGACTGAGATTAAACCATACAAGGGAAAAACAGACAACCTTGAAAAACAACTAAGAAACGAAGTCATATACAAAGTTCGTCACATGTTCTTCTTTGTCCTAACAATGAGTTCTGTAAAATCTTCTAGATGTTTTTTCACCACAAGGCTCACTCTTAAACGCCACTTAATATTTAAGTTTGTAAAAAATGGTTGTTAATTTTTTTCACACACCTTTTATTTCTGCTCCAGGCAAACATTTATTTAATGCTTCTGAAGAGTAAAATTTGTTTCCTAGATCTAGGGTATTGATTTGCAACTAGTTATTCATGCTTTCGAACCCCGCCTCATTTTTAAGGTTTTAAAAGCACGTAGTGCTATTAATTTTTTTCATAATAAATGTATTTTTTCTAGGCTAATACGATAATGTTCATGTGAATACCTAGCTGCATATTGAATTAATTAATGAATATCTCCATTGATGATCTGATTACCGAAAACATTATGTTTAAACGTGTTTAAAAAAACACGTAGTAACATAATGTTGGCAAGCAATGCTTGTAGCAACAGTACTGCGATTCTCCAGGTGCATTAAACTGTCATAGGTACATCGATCTGAGTAACATCACCTACTATGCATACAGTAACCCAATGATTGTAATCCCGTAGAAAAACATTTTTATGTTTAAAGCTTCTTCTCATGTAAGCCTCTGAATACCATAGGTTTTACAATAATTCCTTCTTCTTAAATGGCTATCAGGAAACTTCATTGTATTTACATCAAACAGATTTTCATTACATTGAAACTAAAATATCTAACAATATGATAAATATTGCTGTGACAAACAACAGTTTATTTGACTGGTAGTGTGTGTGGCATGTTTGGCACTGACTGGCCGGTTGTATTTGCATCCCAGTAACTGCTGGTGTCCCCACTGAGACTCGAACGCAGCAGCCCAAAATTCAAACGCCAATAATAATAATACTTTCAATGAATAAAATTGCCTATATTTTTTGGGTTATTTTATAGTTTTTCCACTTTTGGTAATAAAATAAATTGCTTGTAGTATGTATGGTATGCATGAAAGTACTGCTTCACTAAACTCATTCTTATCCGACTAATATATGATGAAAAATGAATCTATTTCCTGCTTTATCCCCATATTACTCCAAAGACAAGACTAGTAGTGAATTGATCTGTTGAAGAAACTCGGTAGTTTAACCCTCTTCAGCTTTATACATCTGCTATTATTTCATTATAAGCGAACCTGACGAATTCTTCTCTCATCCGTATTTCTCAATCATTACGCACCTTTTATATGGTGTGTATTGTATGTTTTCAACAGTATACAATGTACAGTGTTTTGAATTTACCTTTTAAGAGTGAAAATTGATTTATTTGGCCTTTCTATAAGTTTATAACTTCATATGTATTTTCAGTTTGTAAGTCTGCGTAGGACTAATTTTCGCTTCTGTCCATACACAAAAGCTGGATACTGTCCTTTTTCATTTATTCATTTATCATATATAAAATCCATATGGGTGGGTTCTACCTTTGACTTATCTTAGTTATATCTAACATTTACTTAACCTATAGTTTTCAGTTGGTTGTATGTATTGATTGAAATTTTCTTGTCTTCTCATGAGTTAAAATCTCTGTGACTTATTGAATTCAGAATTGGCTAAATGAAAAATTTCCGCTTAAATATTTCAACGATCACAGATATTCTTTATTTACGATGGTCAGCAGATTAAATGAGGAATGCTTGTAGCAATAGTACTGTGATTCTCCAGGTGCATTAAACTGTCATAGGTACATCGATCTGAGTAGCATCACCTACTATGCATACAGTAACCCAATGATTATAATCCCGTAGAAAAACATTTTTATTCATACCGTTACAAAGATTAACAGTTTCTTTGTGTCCTATTCTACGTCTGAATGCTCTGGAAAATTCGACAGCCAACCTCACTGGAGGAAACCTCAACATCGTGAGTGTTGGGGGTATGTTGTATTTCTGCGACACTCATACAACATTCACTTAGCCCCATCTAGCCAACATGATGAGCCTACAAAATGTATCATACGACCGTTAGTGAATTCTTCGGTTATGCATCGTAGACTCTCTGGTGTAGAAATATCTGCGAGCTCAAGAGTAATAGGATTATGGGCAACTGTGGGCTCAGCTAAAGAGGACAGCAGATAATACAACAAACTGGAGATGTGTTGATGAAGCCCTATGCTCCATTGGGAACACAAGGGAACAATAACAATATATCAAGAGTAAAAGACCCACTGCTCACTTGAATTTCTGTAGACAGTTGTCTATATGTTATTGGATTTATTAGCTCTGTAGGAATAGAGGAAGGTCGTGATATTGATCACTATATTTCCCGGTAATTCATTTTCACATTCACTTACTGTAATCACAACAAAGTAAAGCATTAGTTTTATGAAAATGTGTCTAGTTTTTTTGCTAAAAGAAAGCCCCTCTTGTACAATCACCTTAACAGATGATTTTAATGCTCACTCACAGAAGCAAAGTCAAGTGGTAAAGACATCTGAGAGTATATATGGTGCCCCATACTGATGAATCGATTATTGCAGTCGTCTTGTACACCTTTGTTTAAGTAATTATCCATCCTCTGACTCTAAAAATGGTCGCTAAAATTATAAGATAGTTATCTTCGTCCGGTTGCTTGTGCAGTATGAAACAACACGCTTAGCAATAATGAGACCAGATGTTATATGTAGTATGATTACATTAGAAAAGCAATGGGCGTGGTCAGACCACGATATGACATCGATCCATGAAATCAAGTGTGATTCCATCACTTAAACAGGATTTGAATGCAGACTATAAGACACTGAACAAAAGAGTAAAGAAAAGTGCCAGAGAAGACAAAAGAAAGTACTATGAAACCATGGCAAGTGAAGCAGAACAAGCTGCAGGCAAAGGAGACCTCGCAACACTCTACCAAACAACTAGGTATCTATCGGGCAAAAGTTTGACACAAATTAAGCCGGTGAAGGATGACAGTGGAAAGTCAATCACCAAAGAGGTGGTGCAAAGGAATCACTGGGTTGAACACTTCGAAAGACTTCTTAATCGGCCGTCACCTACGACGCACCCAATAATACCAACAGCGGAAGCAGAACTACCAATGGATACCAACTCTCCGACGAGAGTAGAAATCCTGAAGGCAATCAAGATGCTAAAAGCTGGAAAAGCAACAGGACCAGATGGAATCCCAGCAAAAGCATTGAAAATGGACCCAGAGACAACAGCGGACTTGATGCCTCCACTACTGAAGGTGTGGAAAGAAGGCAAAGTACCCGAGGATTGGAAAGGAGACTTAAGTCAATGCAAGAACTGGAGCGGAATTATGCTCCTGTCTATCCCAAGCAAAATACTAAGCCGCATCATCCTGGAGAGAATCAAACATGCCCTGGATGAAAAACTTCGACCGGAACAGGCTGGATTCAGGAGGAACAAGTCATGCATTGATCAGATCGCCACATTACGGATCATCATTGAACAAAGCCTGGAATGGCAGTCACCTCTCTATCTCAACTTCATCGACTTTGAAAAGGCCTTTGACAGCGTCGATCGAGAGGTGCTTTGGAAACTACTTCGCTACTACGGGGTGCCACCGACAATAATACATCTCATCCAACAGCTATACGACAATGCTGCATGCCAAGTAATCCACAATGGGAAACTTACAGAACCCTTCGAAGTGAGGACAGGAGTAAGACAAGGCTGCCTACTATCACCAATGATTTTCTTGATTGCAGTAGACTGGATAATGCGACAAACAGTGGGCAATGAGGAAACAGGCATAAAATGAACACACACAAAAAACTTGGAGGATCTGGACTTCGCCAATGATATATGTCCGATTTCCCACAAACTGGAAGACATGCAAACGAAAAGCAACAAGTTAGCAGAAGAAGCATCAAAGATAGGACTTCAGGTGAACATAGATAAAACAGAGGTGATGAAAATTCCTGGGCAACACCACCAACAGCAACAACAACAACTGACAACAATCAGCATAAATGGGAGGAACCTGAAAGAAACAACCTCTTTTAACTACCTACCTGGGAAGCATCGTCTCAACTACAGGCGGAACTGACGAGGATATCAAAGCAAGAATCGGAAAAGCAAGACAAGCTTTCACTACTCTCAAGTCTGTGTGGAGATCAACAACACTCAGCATCAAAAATAAGATCCGGATTTTCAACTCCAATGTGAAGTCAGTGCTACTCACTATACGGATCAGAGACTTGGCGCGTCATAAAGAGCATCTCAAACAAACTACAGACCTTCATTAACAGCTGTCTTCGCTCAATACTCAAGATCAGATGGCCAGAAAAGATCAGCAACAGAGATCTCTGGCAATGAGCGAACCAACACAGCAGGAACCGATTGTGAAACAAATAGGCAGGAAGAAATGGAGATGGATTGGCCATACTCTCAGGAAACCATCAAGTGACATCACTAGACAAGCCATTGCTCGAGTGGAACCCGAAAGGGAAGCAGCGAGTTGGTCGCCAGTGCAAGGGTGACTTGGAGGAGGTCATGTGAAGAGGAGATGAGAACGTGTTGGCAGACTTGGAGCCAGGTGAAGACGCTAGCAGAGAACCGAACGCAATGGAGACGCACGGCTGAAGCCCTATGTTCCTCTAGGAATTAAAGGAAACAATAATAATAATAAATGGTATCGGTTATTCTTCCATTGACTAGTTTTCGCCTAAGAGTTTAGTTAACAAATCTCCGAGATCTTTTGTCATATGGTTTTAAATAATGTTAAAACGAACAAAATTTCATACATGATTTCTCTGGCTAGTAAGATTCATTGTCATCTGTCAGCATGGTGACATAACTAAACAAGAAAATAAAAACTTGAATCTGTGTGTTTTGTCACTGGACGACACACAGTGCAACTGTTTCGTAGTAAATGAGGATTAAGCGTGGGGTGTGGTCACTGAGCTAAACTGTAGTAGTTTGCAATTTGGCATTCAATTCTGAAGAGTCTGTTGATAACGTCTCTGACTTCCACATCAGGTGACACATATTTGTATCCGTGACAGGAAATAAATTTCTACAAGGTTTCAGTGACGCTTTGTTGATGAAAACCACTATACATGAAGCCTGACTACAAAGTATCCTGCTGATTGGCTTCTTATATACAATGCAAAACTTTATGTATATGGATTGATTTTACATCTCATTAGAATTATTAAATATAACTTATCTCCTATTCATTTGAAGATAAAGTGTTACGTGAATAATGTTGAAAGTGGCTAGGCTGGATGACTTTTTTACAATTGTAGGGGCTAAGTGTTTCTTTTCTGTCTGTCCAAGGAACATTCGACCGTTGCATCTATATAGGTGTTTCATGATATCCTTGTTGATGCTGCATTATAGAAGTATCCAATTTAGTAGAATAAAAGGTTATACTAGCCGTTTATTGTGATTGTACATCAGCCTGATGCATTAGTTCAAGCAGTATCTTCTATTGGTTTACATGTTTGAATACTGTATAGATCTTTATAGTAATAGTGTATTATAGTGTAAATGTTTAATTAAACACTAAGTAAAGATATCATATTGTTGTACTGACGAGAACTGCAAAGTACATTGTTCCTTTCTTTATTATACCATATGTCAGTGTTTATCTTTTGTGTATCTACGGTGAGGGAGGTAAGACTTGAGGCTGAGATTTTGTCGAAAAGTGAGGTAAACTTCCTATCAAAGTTTAAGTTTCCACATATCATTATTCATCTGTGTCTAGCTTATAACCTTATGGATAGATGTGTATAGAATTGTTGATCTACATTGTATTTTAATGTTTATGTAATGTACAAAATTCAATCCACCTCTTCATTGATAACAGTTGCATACAGTCACATTATTTCACATAGAAAATTTCCTAATTGTATTTTAGTTTACTGTATCATATCATAACAGTGTGCATTAATTAATTTTACATCTCTCATCCTTTTAGGTATGGTGAACATATTTCTAATAACGGTTATTATTTCTGTTATGAACCAGAGAAAATTACTCAAATGTTCGATCGTATTCGTCATTGGCCAGATAAACCTGGTCCCAAAGGTTATCCTCAAAAATTAGGACAATTTAAAATAACTGGGATACGCGATTTAACAGTTGGCTATGATGATCACTATCCAGATTTCAAACCGGTAATTATAAGTTGGAAATACTCATTATCATCACGGATTTATTGATACTTGTTTATTGAGGATATAAACAACTTACATCTAAAGTGTCACTCCGTGATATGACTTACTGATAATACCCGGTCAAAGGAAAATAATTACCAGAAAATGCATCAGAAAGACTTTCTTTCTACAAGTTTTTATCATTGGATTTGGTCTCCCACTTCATACAGGGGGCGGATTTAAAGGGTATCAGGGGGATTTGGTGAATGGCGTCTAGCAGTGGAAACCAGGATGCGCATTTTGTTCAATTTGAGACTAGTCAGATGGATATACATGTTTTCCTCAGTGGGTGATGGCGCTCCCACCGAAGCTCAAACCAAGTAGTGATCGTTCCAAACGCCAAGGCGTTATCCACTAGACAACTTAGGCCACGAAAGCCATCTCTTGTGCAGCGGGTATCATTTATAAATAATATCATAGTAGTCATACATGTTCTTTTTAGAAGTATACCTCACGATATGTTTGATCAGTGAATAATACGATTTCTCAATTCTGACAGTAGTTCATCCAACTCGAATATATTTGTGTTCTTCAGTACCAACTTTTGGCTTAATATAATCAGACAAAAAAGAATAGTTGTTATAAAAGTGTTATAGATAAAATAGGCAGTGGTGTAAAGCTATCACGGTCAGTTTGGGAAGAATTTTCTAATTGAACTAAGCTGTGTACTACCATATGACAGTGTGCTTGATATCGAAATCTCCTTCTTATTCTTTTTACAATATTTAATCTATTCTTGTACTGCTACCAACGGTAATGAAAAGAGGATCAGAAATTATTTCCATCTATCTGATATGCATCTTGAATACTTAAATGTTAATTTCTTCTTTTATACCTCTAAATTGAAAACTCCTTCAGGGTTCTTGTATGTACATGCTGCTAATTATAACTAAAACAGGTAAAGCTGTTGACTCGAAAATTTTTATAAAGTACCTTCGAACATTTCACTACATGTCACGTAACTTTTCAGCATTCATTAATTCAGAAAAAGACAATTAATATTGGTAAATAAAGTATTACTTTGATGATATTAGATGGATGGAGGCGATTGGCAGGAAGTCTTGGACCTAGGTGTCGTGCTAGTTAGCACTCGTCAGCAAGGCGTATCTGCAACCTTCTGATTACCTCAAACTTTCTCATATCATCAAATCAGTATGTGCACCGCGATGGCGAGCTACCTAGAATGGTGGCCATATAGCAAACCTGACTGTTAGAATTCAGTCTGCACTAAAGAAAGAACTAGACGCATCACACTAGTTACTAATGTTCAATCAAAGTATTACTTTTGTAATCATCCACTGATTAGTTTGTATTTAGCCTAACTTCCACTGTTGCTCTAATTGTATATGCTTTATTATACATTTGAATTTGACTGATTTCATATAAATCTCTCTACTCACATACAAGATCTTCTTTCTTGACCACTTAAAATGAAATTTTAATTTATTCAAATGTGTGCATTAGTACTCTATAACCAAGTAACGAATATAAATTTTCCGTAGAATCAGTTATGATTAATTTCAGTAATGACTGGTGATAACAATAATAATAAAGTGGATACAAATGAAAAATGAGAAGTATAGAATAACTATAAGGTTTGGTTGATTAACACATTTTTCAAAGCTTATTGACTAACAAAAAGACTAAGTGTTGTTAGATAATGAGGCGAAAACTTACCTTTAGTTTTATCCCCATTGCTCACTACTCTTTATATCTTATCTTAATCCCTGTCAAACTTACTAAAATGCATACTGAATTGAGGTTGTGGTTAAGCAGATTATGAATGCAATGTTCGAAGCCATCTTAATCAATGCCTGAGGGTTCTTCAACACCACATTGATTTTCACTAGTCTTTTGAGAACAGAGATAGCAGTTACTGATATAAGGATAAAACTTGGGTACTATGGTAGAGTATAACTCTATTATGGAGAAAACTTTATTTTGATAAAATCACACAGTGTTATGCAGTAATATTTACTGATAGCCACGTTTTGATCACAAATTATTGCTCACAATCATATCAAGGTACCCACTCACACAACTTTCTTGTTTCATTTATATACATGAGTAAAAATTGATTCGACATTTGATAAAATCAAAAAAAGACAAAATACATTCGAAAATAATATTAGTGTTGTCAATCAAATACAATAAGATGGGAAATAAGATATTTTTCTAACGAAAGTAAGTAACTTGTTAGAATGTTATAATGTGAATTGAATACATTTTAACATTATTTATTATCCTCTGATTTGACTGGTAATAATATCTTCCATATTTCTGGTATTTGCGTTGAGTCACCTCTATTGCATGTTACTGTATAACACTGTATGATTTTATCAAAATAAAATTTGACCAATAATGGGGAGATAGCAGTTGTTTTCTGCTCATTTATTTTTTTAACAATATTTGCACTTAAGTAGGCGAGTTCCAAAAATTCTACCTTTTATTCTTTCTATGCATACTAGTTTTTCAAAAATTTTAGTTTTGAAACAAGAATGTTCACTCCAAGTTGTAATTAAATAAATGCGTATACATTCCTTTAAAAAATTGGATATGTTTCAAGAAGAACAGTTCAAAATTATTCACAAAAGAGTTTGTGTTTTGAATAACAGAAAAGATTGACAGTCCAAGATGATTTCAGTGTTGAAAGGTTACCTGAAATCACCGTTTTAATCAAAAATGAATAGGCCTATTAACAGTGATCCAGTCTCTCAATTAATAAAACAGCAATAAGGTTAGAGTTCCTGATAGTAAAATGGTCAATAATAATCAATAAGTATACAGAAAATGACAATAGAACAATAAAAAGAAACTGTTCCTGCCAAACCTATCATCAAGAGCTACTAACACGCATAGAAAGAATTTTTGTTTTTTTTTAATCATAGAAAATGCAATGAAATATAGTAATTTAAAGTGATTTCACAATTTCTTATTAAGAGGCTATAGGATATAATAAAAGCCAATGAAAACTTGCTTTTTTTTATACTTTGTAACTTTACCATGATAATATTTAACTAATTTGTTGTTGCTTTTTATTGCTGATTAACTACATAAAACCCTTCAGTTTGCTGGTAAGATATATCTGTCTTCGTTATTTTCTTTGCATGTTTTCATGTATGTAGGTATTACCTGTCAGTGCATCTAGTCAACTGATTACTTTCGATTTCTCAAATGGTGTGACATTAACAATTCGTACAAGTGGAACTGAACCGAAAATTAAGTACTATTCTGAGATGAGATCGAAACCCAGAAGCAGGTAAGCGCCTTATACGTATATCTAGTTTTTCTTATAATTATGAGAATTGGCTTCACAGTCTTTTTTTATCCAGGTGTGTGAATTCACACTAGCTCATGTTTTCACTACTTTCAAGGTATAAAGCAGTAGGTGTTTGTCTAGACTTAAGGTAGACATCAAAATAATCACACTTACTAAAGACTTCACCACTTTATAACCTTAGCAGTACTCTACCTAACGTGTGAGTACTGACGAACGAAATCGAAGTAAGAAGACATGAGATGGGAAGTGTGTCTGAGACTGAGTTGTATTTTACATAAATGAAGTATCAAATTTAATAAATAAAAGTGTTATACAACTTATCTGCTGCCTTGACTGGTGGTAGGCTCGAAGAGTGCGCTGAATGAAAGCACAATGAGAGAACGAATCAAGTACGCACAGGAGAGTCACAACTCAAAAGATGAAGTAGTGCCAAAAGTGGGTGAGTGCGTTGAAACAAAAGTTCAAAGGTTCACTGTACACTACAAAGTATTTAATGTTACGTCTTGTAGTGAGGATATTGTCTGTCAAAGCACTAGATTTGGATACAACAGTCTGCACTTTACGTTACTTATTGTACCAAAGACGTCTTTTGGCTTCTCTATCCCTACAATCGACTGTATTGTATGCACCAAAATATCTCGCTGAATGGCAACAAAATGATTAAATCGCAAGTTTTGTTTACCGATATCCAGACAACTGTAAATTCGATTACATACTCAGTCAAATAGGCCTTTTGACAAAATGTTCATGGTTTTTGTTCTGTTAAGGGTTGAATGCGTGAAACGCCGTATCTATCTGTCTTTTCTCCTTTACAACGGCACTACGAATGAGTGCCAGGAAAGACCGATGCTTTGAATATGACAAAGCACGATACTGGTGGAGGTGCTATCCAAAAAGAAGGAGAAGAAACAATTTCATACAGTATAATGTGTGCTCTTTCTCTCCGATCAGACTAGAAGTAGTGAGGGCTATTGAGAGGGCGCCATGTATTCTAATTTGCGAGTGAATGGCTGAGAAGTAGTATATTTAATAGATACAGGGCAAATAAATTCTCAAATAGAAAAGAATCTGTGTCAGAGCGTTAAATCGTGTTCATTGACAGTTCAAACGGTAGGTGAACATGTGTTAAATAACACAGGCCTCTCAAACTGTAGCTTTTTTTATTAGCAGTCTCAAAGTAACGTTCCCGTTCATTGTTTTGCCGGAGTTACGGCGACCAATACTTGAGACCGATTTTCTGAGATAGGTGTACATAATTTCGCTATATAGAGATACCAAATTGCAGATAAACATTCCATTATCAAGTCTGTCTCTCGTCTTCTACCGTTACAATGCTATGTCTTAGATGTTGCTCATTCCTGACTGTCTGCCTCTCTTAATAATAGTGAAGCAATCCCGATGGTTGTAATTACCTCTAGACTAACATACACACTCAGGCGTGGTCTAATTACTGATTGACATGATAAGCTCAGCGCATACTTGTGCACTTTCTTTGTCTTCAAGAATCAAGTAAAACCGGACCATGTACCTGTCTGTATGATGAAACTTTTCTTTGATATCAGAAATTTTTTCTGAACTATCTTATAAATTACACAAAGAAGTGAGTGAAATGTGAGTTCATCCAGTCTACGCATATCTTGTCTAAATAGAAAAAGTATTTTTGTAGTGCACTTTCATTAACTAACAAACTTGTTTTCTGAGAAATTTTCTTCTGGAATTTATTGATACCTTTCACGCTACTAGACGTCCAAAACAACTACTTGTATTATTGTTTCAGTATGTGAAAGCAGTACACTCTATTTCGTAAATAATGTAGAAAATATGTGATTTTATACAGCATGGAAACTGAATCAGAGACACTTACTCGAATGACTTGATATAAAGGTCGAATAGATGGATTTTGGTTAGTTCTTAATGAACTGATTGGCTTGTATACATTTTCAGTGGACTAGCTAAGGTATCTAAACTCCACGTGGTATTTGTCAGTTGAATGTGTTGGTAGCCAACTGTTGATATCCTTTTGACTGAGATTTTGACAGAGGACAAACCGATTCATGTGCTGTTATGTTATCCAAGTGCGTGAACAACATCTCACTATAAGTAATACTTGGCTGCAGTGACGACGAGTTTAGGGAAAGTATATTCTATGAGAATGTAGGATTATTTTACACCTTTCAGTCTCTACTACTTACAACAAGCTCCATTCGTCCATTAAGCAATGCACTGTTGCGTATAATTTGGAGTTGTGTGAAATCATGACAATGATTGTTAGGAATCATTTATTCATGCGTAAATGGTGATTGAAGGTAGTGGGAACAGTAAATACGTTTCTGTAGATTTCCGGTTAAATGTTTTCAATGGTGATACTGATTGCTACTTCATGAGCAGCTCATAGATTTCAATCAGTTCTCTTTTCCTCAAACTCACGTCCACATGTCCCGAGCAAGTGACTGCAACTATTGGACGTTGAATATTTTGTGTAGTGACGGAATGGCTATAATAAGTTTTTGTACATCTGTTCCGAATCTTCTCGTTTATTTCCTGTTGATGTTGCTGTTTCTCTATTTGATGTATTTACATTGAGATATTTGCGTATGATGTGAATGAGTTGTCCAGTGAACATGTTTTCCGTATTAGGCTGTGAGGTATTACTTACTTGTGGTAGTTTTGATTAGCTATGCTATACCAGTCTTCCTAAAAGGTAGTATGCCTAATTACCCAATCAATCAGTAATCTATCTGACTTGCAAATACCCATAACAGTGCGCAAATTGAAAAGACTGAGTTGTTTAGGAATCTGCTCCGATGAGCAATATATTTGAGTAGAATAAAAAGTTTTATTTATTTTGGGAAAAATAATATCAATGATAAGCTTTTTATTATGGAATAGATCAAATTAATTATAATTATATTTGGGTAGAAGAAACAGTGATATTCTTTTTATTTTGGTAATATTTCGAGGAAAATTGCTGCAGTAATTTAGAAGAAACGTTCATCTATAGCTGCACATCCATGGAATAAAACCTACAATATGGATTGAAACAATGTTTGTATTCTGAAATCTAGTATGAACGAATGGAATGAAAGACTGATCACAGAATCTTTATTCATTAAGGTCACTCTGAATTCATCTAACAAGGGTGACCCAATGAAACTAAGAACAAGCTGGGATATAATCCTGGATTTACAAAATTGAATGAATAAAAAATGGACTACGTAAATATGACTACAAATTATAAATGTATGAATTAATAAAAAAACAATTTCAACATTTTGTATGATCACGAGGAGTAATTTTGCTCCAAATATTACTAAAAAGAAATGTATCCTCGCGAGTAAACTATTGAAACGTAATAATAATTAGTAGAGAAAATAATTTAGAACTTATCTGACTGTATGGCTGAACTTTGGACTCAGAGGCTGTGCATGTTTATAGCAAAAGGAAGGCAAGGAAAATGCTGTTCGAGCCTGTCCGGATATTTACCCGTCAAAACAAAACTTAGAAAAACTAAAGCGTCCGTAGGTGGGCTAAATGTTAATATTAAGTTGATTCAGTTTCATTTTGAGCTTTGGTTTATTTAGTGCCGTGAAAGGTGCACTACAAGTCTTAAAGCCACGTTTTAGTGAGAGGCGTTACATGCTCAGCCGATTGACTGCGTCTAAATTAGATGGAATGAAATCTGAACATGCGTTGATTAAATGAATTACACTTTCACCATTTACTTGTATTGTATCAACGTACCGATATAGTAGAATTTTCCTTTTTCATACAGAAGAAAGATTTAGCACTGAATGCATGATGAGTATTATTTCAATAAAGAAATTATTGATTTTCTCTTACCTTTTAGAACACTTTACCAGTCTTTGGAAAATGAACTTCAAGAACTTGTGAACAAAATGATTGAAGAATTTTATCAGCCTGAAAAAAATGGCTTTGTACCTCGGGTGGAATAAATTTGTCAGCTTATATGTTATCACTATGTTATCATTTCGTTTTGATTTGATTTACAAAGCCTCTTATCTTATGGCTTTGTTTTTTTGATGTCTTTTCCTACTATTTCTTACCTTTTTTTATTGATTAGTTTAAAAATTTGTTTTGTAGCTATTTGATGATAAATATTAATGTCTAGTTTAATCTCTTCTCTTCTGTTTGTTTTTTTATTGATTTCATTAGTTTTATCTGATTTTTCTCTCTCCATTCATATGAAGAAATAAGCATATTGTCCAACAGAAATATTGTAAACAAAAAAAGAGATCTGTGAAATTCCTGATTTCTCTGTAACCTGGTTATCTCTACGCTGTTGAGGAAAAATCTAGTTTAAAAAGAATAATAATGTTCAACTTTACTTGTGGGGTTTTCTAGAAATAAAGTACTGTAGTTTTCAGTTTCATAATAATTTACTGTAATGCATATTGTTACTGAAGTCTTTTCAGTTTTTAATTGATAAACGGATAAGAGTGAAGAAATGTAATGTGTTACAAACAATAATATAATACATTGGTTCAGTCAACCAACGTTTGTAACATTTTAATGAGAATGAAGAAATGCGAATAATATGCAAACAAGACAGAAAACAGAATTAATTATGGTATAAAGGTGGGAAAAGTCAATATTAATCTGATCGATTTTGAGCTGTATTACTTTAACTCTGCAGTCACTGAATTATAATATTCCTGATATTCAGTGCAAATTCCAAAATCTGGTGTATTACATTGCTCTCTATTGTGCTAAATATTTCCAGATACAATTGAATTTTGTCCAGCATATTAGGCGATGTTGATAGTGTTTCAGATGCGTGACACATGTCTTTGTCGAATTTCATAGCTCTGGTATAAGTGACTCAGGTGCAATGCAGTGAGTCAGTATTTGATTAAATACTCTGAGCTTATTTGTCTTTTGCGTTGTCTTGCACTATGTCTTACCCGGGCACAATAAACTAAAGCGTGGAATATTTCGACGTTTATCGTTATTATTATCATTATTATTCAGTCCTTTGCCTGCCTAGCGCAACATAGGGTCTCAGGGGCACATTTCCACTCCAGTCGATCCTCTATCGTTATTTCCAGCTGGCTCCACGACTACATCCACACTTTTATTTTCTTCCCACACCATCTCCGCTATGTCACACTTGAACGCCCAACCCGTAAATTCCTATACGGGTTCCACTCGAGGGGCTGATGCCATTTGGAGATCTCAGAGTATGTTCAGTTCATCTCCATTCCCTGCTGCATAACTGTTGGGTTGGAGGTTCTCAGATGGTTCATTACCGGAGTCGTTTAATTGGAATGTCTATCCCCTAGATGAGGTTCTGTTGGCGAATGCCAAATGAGGCCTTCTTCATGTTAAGACTTAATCAGCCATCAAAGTTCAAGTGTGTACACTACTGTCTTTGTCAGGTAATCTTATCAGTCATACCTTATTCCCCATCCAGTCCTATTTTTGGCAGGCGTAATATGCATGTCAAACACCTTCATATTTCCCTTGAGTTGTTAAGAAGACATTGCATGCTCTTAGTTTGTCGAAGGATCTCCAAATCTAAGATGAGTTCATGAATAATCAGAATATTTCCACCAGCACAGAGTACCAACAATATACAAAAGCTGTATTGAGCTAGTATGTGTTACGCTCTCGAAGTTTGTCGAAGAGTGGGAATCTACTTGATATATTGTGTTAAAGTTTCAGACTTCACTTGCCTCCTCATTTTTTGATGTAGAGCTCCATTCAACTGTTGAGTCGACGTGAACCGCGGTGCTTTACAAACTATGCCATTCAACCTAGGCCACCAGTACTAATCAAGAAATAGCTTTTCTACCTCCTTATTAACTGTAGTGATCAGCAGTTGGGTTTAGTTCCAAGTAACTACTTATTACTTCTAATGCTCTGTTGGCATCTTTGTTATTACTGATTTTTACCAGCAGTTCTTGATAGTGATCCTAAGAAACTCGTTAGCAAAACTGTGTCAACTATTACTCTGTCATCTAATCCCATTTTTTCAGCTCTTATCGATTCTTTTCCGAAGTATTAGGTTATTATACTTAGAAGGCAAGCCTGAGGTGCAGTTTCTCCCGCACAGTGAATACTAGGTATCGTTTTAACATCTTTCCATTACTGTTCTCGTCAGCTAGAATTACAGAGGTGGTGGAATATTTTTTGTGTCAAATGAATTTAGATATTGTTCTGAGAAGTGATTTCCGAATTGAATAACCCTTCTTACTTTTATGTCAATTTAAAAACGTGAACACAGGAAACAGGAAAATCAGAGCAATAATATTATTTAGATAAAGCAATAAGTAGACATAATTTGTCTGAATCGTGTAATGTATTTGCGCAAAATATTTCGAACAATCTGAACACACACGGACTTGTCATAGGAATATATATGATGATACCATAGCAGATGTACTATTACCTCTGCTATTTGGTTTAATGGTCTTCAATGTTATTTTGACCTTGAATATGTCCTTTTAACTTGACCTAAGTCTATTTTCTCACCTCTTACCTCTTTATTAATTTTATATAAATATATATTCCTATGACAAGTCCGTGTGTGATCAGACTGTTCGAAATGTGTTGCGTAAATACTTTACACTATTCAGACAAATAACGTCTTCTTATTGCTTTACCTAAATACATACATACATTGTTTTAAAAATAATATTATTGCATTTATTTTAATAACACAAAATATGGTTCGGTTTATAAAAATTTATGTATTTCCTACGTATTGATAAGATCCTCTAAAGTACAGTGGCAGAAGCGTAAACACACTGCTGATAATGTTTGAAGATGTTTAAATTACTAATAAGGATAAATATAGAATTATTAGGTGATTATTTAATAGAGGAGGATAGAAGTTGCATTACGTAAAAGTAATTTATTAGTATACATTAGTTTGATAACGAAATTTATCAGTATTAAACTTGGGCACTGTGGTAGAGTATAACTCCATTGTGGGTAAGTTTTTATTTTGATAAATCACACAGTGTTATACAGTTGATATTCCTGTATAATACTGTGTGATTTAACAAATTTATCAGTGTTCCGGTAATGAATTACTAATACTTAGATAGCAACGATGAGTTATTGCTAATAAATATAACCTAAAACACCGTCAGAGTCTTAGACCTACAATGAATTGGTAGGTGAAATACCTGAAAAAGGAATGAATACAATAAACTGTGCGGGAAAATGGATAAATATATTGAAGTGGAAAAAAGTAGACAAATGCGCGATACTACTGATTAATAAAAAGTAGTATTAAATTGTGAAGCAGAAAAAAGATAGCTGAAACCATAAATGAACTGAACACGTGATCCATGGTTTACCAGGAAGACTTCTCACTGTTAAAACAATGATAACAGACTGCATTTATCTCAACTGAAGCTTAGAAAAGTATATCCAAAAAATGTAAAAGCAAGGTGATTCATGAGTATAACCATTTTGATTTCACCTGTCGTCAGAATTCGTTTTTCAGGTTAAAAATTGTTGTCTGAAAGCTTCAGAAAATCAGGAACTAATATATCTACACAACACCTAAATAAGACTTGCGAACTACAGCAATATTACTGGTAGATTAGTTAGTATGATAAATTCATTGAAATTTACCCTCCTAGAAAGCATCGGAATAGATTGTGTACTTACATATCTTAGGTCAAAACTAGACTGAGTGTACATCACAGTTAACTATAGGTCAGACGATAGGAAAACATGGATACACTAACACCCAAGGATCACCAGAGTACTGCTCCTTCATAGGCTGAGGCTGTTCACTGACATGAGGTCAAAATTTCATCAGGGTTTAAGCTCAATAACGTTAGGTTACGATGCGAGAAAATTATCATCGTTCTACTGTGTCAGGATCCAATGTTCAGTGGTTTTTAACTTCCGTTGGTTCATGACATAACTCTTATGAAGGTAGCGGACACTCCATTTTTATCAAAGTAAGTACTGAATGAAGTTCCCCGTACTAGGAAAAAATTATTAATCTTTTCTTCAGTTGTTAATGATTCTACATCGGATTTAAGTTCCTATGAAAATGAGATACCGACGAACCTAATTTAACATCAGAATATATTTAATGTTCAGATTTCATCATTTTATCCAGTGAACATTCAGCCATATCAAAAATTCATGCAGCAGATAATTTTGTGAATACTTATACTACTTTATTATACAGTCACATATTTTGACAGGACACATGAAATAACGACTAGTCGCTTGAGAGGCTAAATACCGAATAAAACATCTTAGTTTCATTTCTTTTCCAATTCAGGAAAAGAATAGCCTCTATCAGTCTGATAGCCAACATGCAATGATTTACTGAGTGGCCACTGTCACTCTCCGCTAAGAAAGAAATAATGCTGGTGAAGAAAAAAGGTTGGACAAGAGGCTAGCAACCCAATCCTGTAAAAATAAACACTGCTACAGAAACTTCAAGCCTCTAGCTTGAAGCCCTATGCTCCACTGGGGAACGTGAAGGGAAAAAAACTGTCTTTATTCTTTAAACTTCCGGGTTATTATTATTACATTCGGTTAGGTGTGGAACATCAGAGTACAGCAACATATTCCCACCTTGTTCCTCATGCTGCTGTCCTCTTCAGCTGAGTCCACGATTGCCCATAATCTCTCATCTCTTCCTCACACGATCTCCTCCATGTCACCCTCGCACCAACGACCCACTCGTCAATTCCCATCGGGATTCCACTCGAGCGTTGGCCTGCATTGCGCGCGATGTCATTCGACGTTTCCTGAACTTATGCCTAATCCATGTCCACTTTCTCCAACATATTTGTTAAGCGATCGGTTCGTGGTTGGTTTGTTGCCAGAGTTTCTTGTTACTACTTCTTTCTAGCCATTCGATCTTCAGTATGGAGACAGCGAAGGCAGCTGTTGATTAAAGTCTGTAACTTGTTGGAAATCCTTTTCGTGACGCACAGTGCAAGTTTCTGACCCGTTTAGAAGAACCGACAGACTGACTCCACATTTGTGTTGGAAATATAAATCTTGTTGTGTATGCTGGCTGAGTGCAGAAGATTTCCACACTGACTTCAGAGTGATGAAGGTCTGTCTTGTCTTTCCGATCCTAGTTTTGACATCCCCAACCACCATGTCGTCTGTAGTTGAAACGACGCTTCCCAGATAAGCGAAGGAGGTAACCTCTGTGAAATCTCTCCCGTTGATGGTGATTGGTGCTGATTGTCGTTGTTGTTGGCTGGTTATCTTCATCACCTCTGTTTTCTCTGTGTTCACCTGGAGTCCTGTCTTCGCTGCCTGCTTCTTCTGACAGTTTGTTGATTTTCACCTGCAAGTCTTCGAGTTTGTGTGACATTAGACATAAATCATCCGAAATGTGCGAAATGCAGATCTCCTAGAGTCTTCTTATCGGTGGTCCAGTGAATTCCTGTCTTCTCACTACCCATGCAGAGTTTGACGCATAACCCAGTCCACCACAATTAAGAATATCATCGGTGATAAGAAGCAGACAACCTTGTCTTAC